GAGACATGTGGCCGCATCCAGCGCATCCAGAGCAGTATGTCGAAGAAATCTGCAGCTGTTAGCTCTGAGCGTGACAGATGCTATGCAATGGGTCATGCCAGCATTGAGAGGAGGGAGTTGTTGTTCCTGAGCCTAGAACACGCCCAACTCCTCACTCAAAATCGAAGTAACCCTGACTAGGAGTCCCAACTAAAGCTCTAAGAGAACCCTATATGACCTCATTACCAGGCTGGCGTGGATGTAGGATCTCATGACATTGACGTGGTTGCTTTTACCTACCTCATACCATCATACCCTCATAGCCCTGATGGCTTTACAGCACCCGTGAAATTTCCAATTCCAAAAAAGGGCCCGCATGTTGGAGATCCTTGGCTTTTTACCTTAAAGCACGGAACCCCAAGCCTTCCATACGTGAGCTTTTCGGGATGATCCCTGATCCCTGAGGCTGTAATCTCTGCATACCCTGATGCTTCTGAGGGCACTCTTTTTTTGGAATCCTGAATACCAGGAGCTTGGTGAGCCAGAGTTGGAATCTGCCAGCTCCTAAGTCCCAGGAAAGAGAGCAGGGAGGAAGAACAGAGCCCACTTCCCATTGTCAGACCATCATGGCCACACAAGAATTTTGCTACGAGACTAGTGCTGATCATTGCTATACTTGTAGGGCTAAGGATGTTGGAGTTGGAGCGTGTGAGCAATTGCTGTATCTGCTCCGTATTATGTTGTGCGGGAACTGCCAAGGCCACATGTGTTTGAGAGTGCCCTTGACTGTCACAGTTCTGCTAGTATACCTGTCGTTCGTTAGCCGAACCATGACAGCCTGCCAAGAAAGAATCAGGCTGGCAGCTGCTCGCCCACGCAGTGGCTGGAGGTCTCCCAGCATGAGCTTCATATGAGCTTCACAACCGCTTGATGGCCACACGAACATTCAGGCTTGATGCTTCTTGTCCCAAGTAGGCGTAGGGCGCAGGTGCTAGACGCTTTGGTCTATAGCCGAGGGAGCGCCTTCATGAAACTAATGCGACTAGGCCGGGCAAAGCCGCAGCAAGACGACAGCAGCTTGCTGAAGCTTCTGCGGAACATGCATAAATAACGATGGCATGCAGGCAATATCCAGCCAGGTTGGATGCAACTGCCCCACCTCCCAGATCCCAACTCGCATGCCCGGCCAGGGGTTGTCTCCCTGCCTAGCCGGTCATGCAGGAGGCCGCTGCATTTGATGAAGAGAACGCTTTGATGCTGAAAGCACCGAGCCTAACACCTGCAGGTACATTGTCAATGTCGCCAGAGTCTCGGAACGCTGAGTGAGGAGCTCTGAGGCCTGTAGTATCCCGCGAAGAAAAGGCGCAGGGCGAGGCCATCAGCATCAGCTTATCGACCAGACAAGCCCATAGAAGCAACTGCATGGCTGCCGGCCCTCATGTACCTCTGTTGGACTCCAAGAATTTAAAACACCGGAAAACAGGTTACCTAATGTTGGTGCCTATGATGAGTAAGATGGTGCTGCGGTATTCCTCGTAATCATTGACATCGCAACGAATTGCGGTGCTTGGCCCTTCCATGTTAGCCCTTTCGCTGATTTTGAGTTAAGGGCCGTCCTTACGCAAGCCTTTGTGCTGACGTTTCGAGCTTGCAATTTGCAAAGGCCAGAGTCACAGCCGTGCACTTCACCGCTGAGTGCTTGTCTCAAGGTCCCTATGGATGGCAAGCGTTTGCATCGGTGTTCTCCGCGACTTACTCTAAGTCGTACTGATACCAGTACAACGACGAACGTGATATGCAGTAGATGGAAGTGTAAAATGAATATGCATAGACATGATCTTATTCCAGAGTCATGTAGGCGACGCTCAAGATGACAACAACAGCGATGAGGGGAACGTTGTCGGGCATAATGGAGACGGGCCACGATTGTAGAATTCCTGAAGCCCTTACACCTTGTGGGTGCCCAGAATGAAAACATTAAGGCCCTGAAAGCAGCAACAACAAGAGCAGATGCCACGCCTAAACTAGACCTAAGCCATCCTAAGCCCCCTCAGAGAGGTTGCTCGCCCGTGCAGGCACCGCCGGGCCCTGCTAGAAGTCCAGAGGCCTCGCCATCGCGGCTCCACGCAGCGCGGGAAGCCAAAACCTCAGTCTGCTCTTTAAAGGAGCATATCAAAAATCTACAATCTAGATCCTCCTTCCAGGCACCACGAAAAGTCACCCTCTAGAGAAAATAGGTCAGCAAGACTCTTGAGTTCTGGCATTGGGGAGCAGGCATGTGAGATATTAGACGGGCTGTGTGGTGAGTCGTGGCTATGATGTAGGGATGCTTTGGGGGCGGGGAAGGCTTCATACGTTTGCTAATTTGGCGCATGTTGGTGTTTCAATGATGCTCGAAGTTATGGTGGCAGTGCTGCTGGTGCTTGTCCCGGTCCAGTGATCATGCTGGTAGTGTTGCTGGCGGCGTTGCAGGAAGTGGCTTTTGCTCGGGGCAACTGGAACCCTTTTACTTGACGGTGCAGGTGTATTTGTGGGATCTTAAAGCCTGTCAGAGGTGGTGGGGTTTGGCTGTAGTGCTGCTTGCCTTGAAAGTGTGCACTGGTTATGATGATTGTCTTGTCGTTTTTTTTGGTGGCGGTGGTTGCATTTTAAGAGCTGTCAATCATATCCAGAATCATATCCTCATCTTACCCGAGAGAAGTGATCAACGTGCATGCTCATGTGCTCCAATGTGCCCTATCGGCAGGATCTCACGCGAGAGATCACGCAGCTGGAAGATTTGCGCCTTCGTGTCTGCACCTTGGGTTTTCCAATCAACATGCCGAAGGAATGGGGGCGCTACCCCCCTGAATAAACCAAGCTGGTAGTGATTGGCTTGCTGGAGCACGGAGAGCTTCGACTTCGGTCGGAATCATGGACAGGTGCAGCAGATCTGCCTTGCCTTACGGAGCGCATCCCATGATGACCCAGCGGAGGTTTGGGAGGGGCCAACATAGCTTGGTGCCAGTTGCCAAAAGAGTGAAGTCACCGCTTGATCACAGGTTGCCGAGCCTCCGCTGTTACCAAGGCAGAATGCCATGCCACGAAGCCACAACTCTCAAGCTGCTCCAGCTGGCTTGCTTCATTTGTGTCCTTGCAGAGAGCCGCGCACGCAATTTGCTCTTCTTCGGCCGTCCTCTGATACCCTGTGATTTTGTAGGCCAGCGCTGGCTTTGAAAGCTAAAGCTCTGATGGAAGCATCTCTGCGACCAGCGCTCGGCGCTTACAGTGCGCTGTGCAAGTTTGTTGTGGTGGCTGTGTTGGTATTGTTCTAAGACGATGAGTCTTGGATTGCGTCCAGTGACTGAAACACATGGTTTTCCTTACAAGCAAAACCGTCTCAGCTTGGGGTTTTTTACGTTGTACGACCATTAGACCATAGTACAGAGGACCACAAGGCAGGCAGTTTAGGCTTGCTTGTCACGTTGAAGCTCAAAGCTGAGCGCGCTGGCCTGGAGGGAATGAGCAGTGTCTCGCAGCAGGGTCTGAAGTCTGAACTTCATGTGAGTAATATTGTATTTGGGGATTATATGGTGCCCAATATCAGATTTTCCTACTTTTGGGTATTGTGTGTTTATGCAGAATAAGATCCTATTTGGTTCAACCACCGAAGAAACCGCTAGTTGTTGGTGCCCAGGCTGTCGGAGTTCGTGGAGACCTACCTGCAGCGAGCCTGTCTTGCTTGATGAAGATGAAGCACGTCTGCTTGTCCAACCTCCGCACCCTTTGCAAATGCTACATGTAGCGATTGGCGGCTACGCCTATAACCTCTATGACCCCGTTTCCATTTCATGTCCTATGTTCTTCTCCATTTGACTTTCCATTGTTGACGCTATATCCTCCAATCATGGAGCACCAATATCTCAGGTAACATCGGCTGTGATTGGGGTAGTTCCCAAAATTATGGAAAACCCCAAAAGCTTTCTGGGATCCCTGAAAGGCCCGAAAATTTTAGATGATTGAGGACCCCAGAACATTCGTATCATTGAGGATCCAAGCAGCTGCTGGAATACCTCCTTGTAAAAATGATTGCCTGGCCTCCTTGAATAAGCGGTTTAATAAGAAATCCATAGTTTTGGACCTGGCCTGAAAACTGAACTCCTGAAACCGAAGATCCTTGAGACAAACATTCTTATTTTTCTTTCTCGTGAGAGCAGCTCGATCAGGAAAGCAAATTAGCTGTTAGTCTACCTAATTACTTTCAAAAAAAAATTGTTTGAGGCTGCGCGACTTCACAATTAAGGGCCCCCAAACGAATCAGGGTGCTGAAGAATTTTCGGTGAAACTGCGCACAATTAAGGCCCCCCCCCACACTACGGGACCAAACATTATAGTGTATGGAGAGGTGATAGCCTGCTGCTAACTTGAGTGCTTACCGCGCAGCTGTTTTTTGATGTTTTTTGTGTGCTTTTGTTGTTCGATTACACTGAAAGAAGCAGCTGACCATAGGATCTGCAGGGGCGTCTTAAGGAGCTACAAGCGTTCTATGGAGAACCTGGCTCAAGCATAACAGCTTTCAATGGACAATCATCTCGTTTTTTGTTCAAGAAGAGCCAGAAAGGGGTACTGGGTACTGTAATCATCTGTACCCTTGGTCCTTCTCAGGAAGCAGAGCAGGTCAGTGTAGGCTCCACAACAAGTGCATCTGAAGCTTCAAACCGTTTTTGTAGTTTGACAAACATGCTTCCTCCTTGTACCGTTGAGTGACGCCATACAAGACCCATAGCTCTAGGAAGCCACGACTTGCACACTATGAGCTTATCCTGGCAGGCAACCTTCGGAAGCCGATGTTCTCGCAGCACGAGACTGAATTGGGTTGCTGCTTTTAGCCTCTGTGGCAGAGCAACCGGGCGGTGACAGGAGCTACCGTGCACTTCTTTCAACTGTTGTGATGGGCTTACTTAGGAGTTCTGATTCCGCAGCCTGGCTCCAGCATGTGACGGCAGAGCTGTAATCCACGCCTTTGTGGCAGAGACCTGCACATGCATGTCTCGCGGCAGCCTTCTGGCGGTGTCAAAACTCCTGCCTCACCTCACCCGGAGGCCCATATGCTAGGCATGGAGCAAGATACCGACATGGAAACTGTGGAAGTAGCCACCCGAGCTGATTCTCAGCGGAAAGAAAGCCTTAAGGCTCGACCGCTGTTCAGACACTGCGGCCCCACGATGCTTGTAGGCGTGGTCATCTCCCTAGGAGCGTTTGTCGTTGCGATGTGGCTTTTCACCAACCCCATCAGCATTGTTTCCTCTAGAAGCGCCTCTCCAAGCGCAGTTGTGGGAGGGGATGTCGAGATGGGCGGAGTCATGATCTTCAATGTGACCGCTTGGTTCATGTTCCTCCCTTGGAGAGGAAATGTGGACTTCCTGGGCCGAGCCATAGCAAAGATGCACGACGATCTGTCCATCGAGACGAACTTGATTATGACTGACTATCTATACACTGCCAATCCGCATTTCGCGTTGGAGCACAATGCAACGCTTTACACCTGGTGGATGCTACGTCGCCCGAACGCTGCGTCTGCAAATGAAACCCGCTACAGGCTGATGTCCATCGGCCTTCGGCGCTCTTCGGTCATTGTTAGGCCGGTCATTTCCTTGGTATAGTTTCCCCCACTTAGTCTTTTTTCTTCTACGTAGGCCACATTGGCAATCCTGAAAGACCAAGGTCTGAGCTGGCAGATCAAAGAAAACATGCATGCCATGAACGGGCTTTGGGCCAATCAGAACTTCATAGGAGTGATCTACCAGAACTGGTGCGAAGAAGGGATGTGGCGTACTGACGATTTCACTGAGAGCGCCCGGATTAGAAGAAATTGGGCTGCAGGCTGGTGGGTAATGCACAGACCAACATGTGATCTGGGCTTGGGATGGTAAAATCCCTCCGGCGGAGATCTCCCGACTTAAGGTCCAAGAGATCGCAACTTTTAATGTCAGGGATGCAGGGCTGCAAGAAAAAAATGCACAGTTGCAAGGTCGGAAGGAACGTGGTTGCTGGTATTTGCAAATGACCAATTCCAGATTTCTTGGGGCACATTGCTTCCTACTGCTTCAGTAGAGGAGCCATCGTATGCACAAGTTGCCGGTGCAGAAGAGACATCAACACCAACCAGGGTCTGTACAAGCTGGCGACCGCTGAACAAATCGTCTACTTCCGCTTCAAAGAGACAGGCTTGTCAACGAACCTAGCTCATAGGTCAGAGCGAACAGAACTACTAGGCGTCATTTCCATAGCCCACATCAAGAATGGGAAACTCACGCGATGAACAACTAGAACTGCAAAAGCTGCTCGCTTGAGGCCATGCGGCGCCGCTTCGATGAGCTAGACTTTGAGATGAGCGAGTACTGCCCTGCCAGGGGCTTACTGCTCGAGAGGTGCCAAGCTGTAGTTGGAGCATTGGGGCCCTGACCCCCACAGCTGACTAACACCAGTACGCAGCCAGCGAGTAGCAATGCCTAGAGTGCAGAGCAAGAGTTTAACACGGCAATTCGTGCATGCAGCGGGCGCTGCTTGCTCGATGTCGCGACAGCCATTGCGACAGCAGTCTGTTCCCTGTTAAGCTTGCGATGCGCTGCTTGCAAAGGCCCGTTGCGACGAGAAATGAACCGTCCTTGTGGCGAATGTGTATTGACGTCGCGCTTCAAGTCTGGAGTCTAGGAGCCTCTGCTTCCGCAACAAAGCGCGCGGATGACATCAGCAGGTCAGTTGTCACTTGCCAAGCTTGACGTTTCGCCTTGCTGAGGGGACTGTGCTCATTGAGCATGTACATGTATTGCCGCCGTTAGCCGGATACGGGTGATCCTTAAATTCAGCTGTTCACATCAGACTTAGTACTTAGAAAGACACATAGTTGGGCCGGGGAGGCATCGCTTAGCAACGGCTGATGCCGTCCTAGCATGCTTTCGCCGAACTTTTCATGATGAGAACCCTGTCCTGCTTCTGACGAGAGAGGCTGCGAAAACAGCACAACATCCTTGCCCGAGTAATGTTTCCTGTGGCCATCGTGGCAGGCTTTCCACCTGTGACTGTGAGTGCAGTTCCATTTCAGTTGTTCGGCATGATGTTGGGCAAACATTGTGGGCATTGACCAGCATGCCCCATGTTGTGCATTCATAAGTGCGTCTACTGCAGCCGCTGGCTTGAGCCAATCAATCCACCAAGAGAGCCACATGATGTCTGCACACAGTTTGCTATGCAGTTAGCAGTTAGCATGGCGCGAGTACGTGTATGAGTTTACAGCGAGCCTGTTGAGTTGTCACAACATTGACATGCGCTCTGTTCTGCACTCCCTCCCAAAGTCTGCATACCACACTCAGGAAGCACGCGCAGATTCGCTGATCTCCTGAAAAGGTTCAGGTCTCGCTTTCAATATCAGGGTTGGCTCAGATGCTTTCCGGAGATGACCCAGGCAGCGCCAAGCATCTCACCGGGAACATGGCAAAACCATGTCAGGTCGTGTAAGGCATACAGCTGTCGATGTGTCTTGGCCAACTCTTGGCCTCCTGTCTAGGACCCGCGTGGACCCGCGCCACACAATGACTGGGCCACATCGCTTCCTGATGGACTGGACCCGCGAGGCGCCGCGAGGGCCGCGCGCGACGTGCGTGGGACCCGCGGGACCCGCGCAGGGCCGCATGGCCCCGCGCCTCTCATGGCCT